GAGAGAGAGAGAGAGAGAGAGAGAGAGAGAGATATGGAGTAAGGGGGTACAGTGTGCAAACCTCATAACGTGTGAGGCTCTGGAGGGTAAGGAGTGGGGGGGGGGAGGACAGAGTGCGTGGCGGTGGAGGTTGGGTTTGGGCTGGGGGAGCTCTGTGGTGCAGCCCCACGCGGAAGCTGGCTGGCCTGACGCACGGTTGTCCCTGGGAGCCGATCCAGCCTCTGTGGTGTTGACGGCTCAGGTGGGGCTGCCTTGGGATCTGGGGCACAGCCTTCGTCAGTTCCAGCTCCACCCCTGGAAGCTCTATAAACGGGAGCCCGGGCTTCGTGTTGGCTTCTCCCCTGGTTTGGGAAGCGGCTGCTCAGCCATCCTCTTGGCTTCTAGCCTGCCCTCTTCAGACCCTTGTCGCCAGACATCTTTCATTAAGGCCTCTTAGGTCCCCGTGGTGGCTGTGGTCTGGGAGTTTCTTTGAACGGCAAACCAGTCCAGTTGAATCCAGAGACCCGATATTTAAAGCCACTGTGGCCAGGCCTCATGGGATGGAGGGGAGAGAAGGGCAGGCCCTGCTCTCTGGGGGCTCCCAGCTCATTGGGGGGACTGCCATGCTAACAACATGTTTAGCCAGGCCTATGTTTAAATACTCCAGTCTGCAGTTTTCCCTCCCTACTGAATCATTTCTTAGTGTTGCTTATCCTAAGAAAAGACAAACAACAAGTTTCTTAGGCTCTTGTTTTCTCTCCAGCCATCCCCTCATTTCTCTATTCATGTTCACATCCAAGCATCTCATAGAACAGGTCACACAGACTGTTCTTGCGTTGGCATCTCCATCTGCCCCTCAGTCCGCTACCCCCCATTCTGTGCTGTGCCGCCACTCAGACAGCCCTCGTCAAGGGCACCAGCCACCTCCATGTCTCTTGAGCTGTTGGTGTTTGTTTGACTCAGCGGTTTCCCTGGCTTTGTTGGACCCCTCTGTTCTCTGGTCTCTCCAGAACCCATCTTTCTTCCCTGGGTGCTCTTACCGGCTGGCCGTGCAGGCT